TTTAATAGTACAAAATACATGTTTTGTATGTCTTTTTTCATCAGCTTCATGAACCTTATTCAGTGACTTATTCAATTTTATGTTATTAAAACTAATAAATAACGCAACAATCACTCATTAACTTTTCATAACAGATCTTGTTCAGATGATAAAGGTTTGTTTCCAGTCTTGTTAATCTAAGTCAATGTATAAATCAATTTGACATGGCGAGTTTTTATCATTACAAAGTATTAGTTTTATATAAATTTATTGAATTTGAATGGCATATAATCAAGAACAAACAAATTATAATTGTTTGAACTAACTTTTTCATTTTTTTATAAAATATAATGTTTTTAGTAAATAAACAAATATCAATATTCAATTATATTGCCAAATTAATATCAATCATGGACATAGTTTTGTCTTGTGTATTCAAACTAAATATATTATATTTGGCTCTAGCACAAAGATAATGTTGATATTGGAATTTTTGTATTTAAAAAAAACATATTAGATAGATTTGATTTAGATAGATTCCRGACCCCTCTTAAATAACAATTAATTTTGAAACATTTTTTCAATATAGAAGTAATTTACGTGAACGATGGGTTCGTGAATTCAATGAAAAATTCTTTATCGTCTTCTTTTATTGATAAAAAGTGTCTACTGAAAAGTCAAATTAAATTTTTATGAGCATTTGAATTTCAAATTTCTTTAACATTGAGAATGTTCACTCAAATCCTCTTGTACCAATATTCTTATTTTTTTTTTTTATTTAAAAACGGATAACTGTAGAAACTTGAAATTTACACCATATAATTTCCTCTACTTGATAAAATTTTCAAAACATTTCAACTCTTTTTGAGTTATTTGTAGACATTTGAAGTATTCATATTTTTTAGTTTTTYATTCTATAAATGTCAATAAAATTGTATTCGTTGGGTGGTTGGGTCAATTAATTTTTAAAATGTAATACCATTTATTACGATAAACAACCTGTAACCTATATGCTTATCAACATTCACATATCTATTTTTAGATTCTGAACGGAGTGATGAATGTATTGATTTTACAATGATGTGTGTGTTGTTTTTTTTTTATTGTCCATGTACAGCATAATTAGTCGAAATAATGCAATAATTCCAAACTTTTGGGGTGGTTTCCGATGTAAAAGTTAATATCCTTGGTGCATTATAGAGATCAAAAGTWAACATTTTCCAACAGTTTTCAAAAAAAATGGAGAAAAACAAAAAAAAAATTGGAATTTTTACGCAAAACCAGTTTTCGACCAAATCGATTTTTTTATATGGTTGTAATTCAAAAACTAATCTCTGTAAATACTTGAAATTTTCATTAAATGTTTATGTTAGTGTTATCTATATACACTGTATATTATACAGTTTAATTTTWTGACTTTATTGAGTTTTTTTATAGACAACTGAAATTTTCGATTTTTATGAGCATTTTTTTTTTAAAGTGTCGATAAAAAAATTTTGGATGCCCAAAAAAACTTGAAAACTTAATACATGGTTCCTTATAAGTTGTTCTTATTGTAGTTGAAAAAAAAATATCACAATTATTTTTTGTAAGCGTTTATAGTTCAAATTTTTACGAAATCTGTCGAAAACGTGAAAATTTGCAAGTAATTTTGAAGTTGAAAAATCATAAAATTGTTTGTGTTTATAACTAAAGATTAAAAATACAACACTAAGTTTTCCTTCAAGTAGCTATAATGAAAACTCGAAGCATCATTATAGGCAGGGTTGGGCAGTATCAAAGATACGTATCAATGATACAATTGTATCTATTGTATCTTGAATCATGATACATAATTTTAAAGTATCAAGTATTATGTAACATGATACATTTTAATACCAGTATCTTGTATCTTTTTTGCCAAAAGATACAAGATACTTTTGTTGTAAAAATGTGTACTGAATAGTGCCAAGACATTTCAATTTTCGCTATTAGATAAATTCGTCATAGATTGTATTTTTATGAAAAATTGTACAGATGCAATCGAGTTGAAATTAACGATAACGAAAAAATTTACCACACAATTTTATAACTTGTAAAGCTGTGAGATATTTAAAGACAATTGAAATTTTCAATTTTTCTGAAAAATTTTGTTTGAAGTGTCGATAACATTTTTTTGGCCCTATCAAAATGAAAATTTAATACAAAGTTTCTCATAAGTTATTCTTATATATAAGATTACTTTAGTGATCAAAAAATTATAAGAATACATATGCACATGATACCTATCATTGCATTCAAATCTTCCCTACCCTAGTTAGAGGTCCACCCCACCACCTATAATATACAGCAGAGCGACATCCACTTACCCGCTTTTTTATTTATTTAAAAATGTTTTTTGTGTTTTTTTTTGAAATGTGGAAAATAAACACCAKCACTAGGAAAAAAAATCCCCAGTAGCATTATACCGGTATTAACACCCTTAATAAAATAATAACGTATTTATTTATCTACGACGATTATAGGATGCGTGATACCTATCTACTATCTACTATTATATCATCTTATACCGGAACGTCCGGAACTGAAACAAATTAAAAAACTAATTGGTCAGTTGGAATTACATCTTGATCGCGTTTATTTTGAGCATAGGCGCATCTAGAGGCCTAACACTGGGGTTGCTAAAATTATGTAGATGAAACAGGTCCGTGGGGACTACGCTTCTATGGTATACCCCTAAGTACCATTCTTCAATTTTATAATTACTATAACCAATCTTAAATGCACTGTAAAAACATAAGCACACTAATATTTAAGTATCTAAACAGTAGTATACCTCATAAATACATTAGGAATATTACCTATATATTATTCATATCAGTGGCGCCGAAGTCCTAAAAATCTAGTAGGGCGAAAATATTTCAAGAGGCCCAACATCTTWATATCGGAAAAAATGGCATACCGTGGAGAGGAAAATTGTCAATATGTAGTGGCCCTATCTTAAATTTTCAAAATATGTCGGGCCATGGCCCGACTTTAATATAGGGTTCGGCGCCACTGATTCATATAATAACCCAGTACCTACCWATAAACAGATAAAAAAATGTCCATGTTACATAACTAATACTTGATACAACCATATTATATAACTATAATCATCATAAATATAGACACATAGAATATTTTCACTGATCGAGTTATTTAAGTTTCCTGTTTTGAATATAACACTTTACTTTGCAATTATTGTGTTAATGAATAAAAGTACATCTATTATAACCTAAAGAAATGTCCGAGTCGTTACAAGAGTCCTCACAAAACCGACTTGTACATGCGAGTGCGTAAGCCTGCGATTTCTTTTACAATTTTACACACGTCCACACTCACACACCCTAACGACCCTTACTCACACGTCTACAAACTATGCGTGTAAATTGCCTCATTCAAACTCCTTAAAAACTGTCCGTCACTGCCGTCCCTTACGCATATTTTCTGCGATTAAGTTCAGATGAGAATCTAAAYGAAAAACATGAGGTGGTCTAAAATTTGAAATTTTCTTTACTTATTATAAAGTATTATTGATAGAATAATTGTAAAATGTAATTTAGTGAATTGAATATTGTTGATTACGCCTGTACATATTTTTTACTTTATATAGAATAAAATGCACACAATTTTATTTAATAAATATGTTATAATAATGGTTATAATATGGTAGGCAATCAACTCATCATTATTACTCGGCCATACACTTGATTTGAAAAATACGACGCGTTTATTATATCGACCATCATGACGAATAAATATTTAATATTTTACTCGCGTTTGTTTATAAGATAAGGAATGAAATTCATATATATGTATAGATAATAGAAATAATACCGGTAATAATAATAATAATTGTAATGACCACTATAGACAGATAGTATATAATTAAAAATCAAATTTCACTTTTTATCCAATGTGTCATATAGTGTAAAAATTAATTCTATTATT